TAAAATATTTAGATGTCCATGTTCGAAGCATAAAAATGTAGCTTTCCTCAAGCCCGATGATGTGAAGCTTGATTTATATTATAGGGGATTTCTTCCAAACTACTGGATTTAGACATCACATGGCGAGTACGAGCCACATAGAGATGCTCATGTTGGTTAACCTACAGTTTATAAAATATTTGATGAAGATCAAAAGAGTAGACCCTATGAAGAATTTATTTTTGATGTAGCAGGTCCTAATTTAAGGGCTAGTGTGGAAGAGCTACCAAATACAGAAACACAAAAATTTTTTGAGTTATTACATGCAACTCAAAAACCAATTTGGGATGGTTGCAGTACACATTTAGAATTATCCATTGCAGTGAGAATGCTAAGTATTAAAACTGAGTAAAATATTTCCCGTGATTGTTTCAATGACTTTATTGGTCTTATGAAGAAAACTAATCCAGCAGGCAATTTGATTCCCTCAGACTTATATCGAACGAATAAATTAGTATCCAAGCTGGGTCTCACTGCTACAAAAATTGATTGTTGTATCAATGGATGTATGTTATACTATAAGAAAAATGCAGCAGAAGTTTGTTGTCGCACCTACAATGCTCCTCGGTTTAAGCCAAACTCAGGAAAACAATATCGTCAAAAGAAAGATGTGCCATATTCCAATTTATTTTATTTATCAATCATTTCAAGACTTCAGCGACTCTATGCATCAATAAGTTCAGCAGGCCATATGAGATGGCATAAGGAGAAAATATCAAAAAGTGATGTTCTTTCTCATCTATCAGATGTTAAAGAGTGGAAACATTTTGATCGAGTGCATGCTTCATTTGCTATTGAACCCTGCAATATAAGATTTAGATTATGTGCTGATGGTTTTACCCCTATAGTCAAACTGCTACACCTTACTCTTGTTGGCCAGTTATATTAACACCATACAATCTTCCACTAGAGATGTGTATGACTACTTCGTACATGTTCTTAACTCTTATAATACCTGGACCACATAATTCAAAAAAAAAATTGATATTTATTTGCAACCATTAATTGATGATCTCAAGTTATTATGGAAAGAATGAGTGCTCATATATGACATATCAACAAAACAAAATTTTCTCCTTCGAGTTGCATTATTGTGGACTATTATTGATTTTCCAGCTTATGGTATGTTGTATGATTGGAGCATATCAGGAAAATTAGCATGTCCTTATTGCATAGAGAATAGTAAAGCTTTTACACTAAAACATGGAGGGAAAAATACTTAGTTTGATTGTCATCGTATGTTTCTACCTACTAATAATCAGTTTTAGAGAAATAAGGAAGCATTCGTTAAAAACAGACTTGAGCGGTCGCCTCCTCCACCCATATTCAATGATGATGATGTAGTACAAAGACTTTCTGACATTCCAACAATTATTGATTTTCCAATGATATCAGAGTCTAAATTTCCGGGTTATGGTGTTGAACATAATTGGATTAAAAAAAGTATTTTTTAGACATTACCATATTGGAGAATTAGTTTGATAAGACATAATCTGGATGTTATGCACATTAAAAAGAATTTCATGGATAATATTTTTAATACAATTATTAATGTTAAAGGTAAGAATAAAGATAATGTTAAAGCAATGATTGACATTAAAGAGTATTGCCAGCGAAAAAATTTAGAGTTAGTAACAACAATCGACGGTAAAATAATGAAGCCCAAAGCTCCATACTCTTTCACGCTAGAACAAAAAAGATCGATATGTTAGTGGTTTAAAGGTTTAAAAATGCATGCTGCCTATGGATCAAATATAAGCCGATGTGCTTACATGAAATATGCAAGGTTATTTGGACTCAAAAAAGGTTTAAAAATGGCTGCTGGCTATGGGTCAAATATAAGCCGATGTGCTGACAAGAAATCTGCAAGATTATTTGGACTCAAAAGTCATGATTGTCACATAATTATGGAGGTTCTTCTTCCTATCATAGTATGTATGTTACCCGATTACGTATTAAATCCGTTGACTAAGCTTAACATTTTCTTCAAAGACCTATGTTCATCTAAACTAAGCGAATATGCTTTACGGAGGTACGAGAATAACATATCAATCATCCTCTGTAAGTTAGAAAATATATTTTCTCTGAATTTTTTTGATTCTATGGAACATCTTTCAGTACATCTACCTTACAAAGCTAGAGTTGGTGAACTTGTACAATATCGTTGGATGTATCCTTTCGAAAGGTAAAACATATTTTTATTAAGTCTCCAATATTTTTGAATAAGTTGAGATAACATATTTTTATTAATTTGATAATTGTAATTGTTTAATAGATATTTGAACAAGTTAAAGAAATATGTTAAGAATAAAGCACGACCAAAAGGATCAATATGTGAAGCATATTTGTCTCAAGAAATCACTCACTTTTGCTCATACTAATTCGAGCCCCATGTAAGGAGTACAAGAACAAAGATTGGTCGTAACATAGACTTCGATATAGAAGAATAATCACATGTTGCACTATCAGTATTTAGAAGGCAAGAAAAGCCTAGTGGCAAATATGTTGAAAGATTTCTCAACAATTTATAAATAAAAATAACGAATTTGAATGTGCTACTGAACTGTGAAGAAGTTGAGCCAATCTTATAGTAAGTTCTTGCATAATGTTAATAATGAGTAATATTTATTTAAAATACTAAAGTATTATTTATCATTAGGTATTTTGTAAGCAATTTATCTTTGACAGATTCGATGGATAGTGAGTAAGCTGTTGTAAATAAATTTCCAACTTGGTTTAGATCATATGTGAGCACATCAATTTTAAAAATTTAATTTGAATTATATCTTATTTATTATAAAAAATACTAATATTTGAGAAATGTTTCTAGTACAAAACCATGATAACAAATGTTTCGATAAAGGTTTGCAAGCACTAGCATGGGGTCCAATGCGAAAAGTAAAAACTTGGCCAATATATATAGTGAATGGATTCAGATTTCATATCAAGTCGTGAAGTGAAGGAAGAAAAATTGAAAATTGTGAAGTATGTGTTAGAGGGATCACTCATGAAGAAGATGAGTGTGATTATTACGGTATTCTGAATGAGGTTCTTGACCTGGAGTACCTAGGCGAAGATGAGAACTTTATATGCTTGTTTAACTGTCAATGGTATGATCCAGTACATAATAGAGACACAATCCTGCATATGTTTAGCGATGTAAAACATAGTAGAAAATACGGAAAGTTTGATCCATTTATGTTAGCAAGTCAAGCTATTCAAATTTATTTCAGTAAATATCCCAGTGGTCGTAGAGATAAACAAGATTGGCTAGCTGTCATAAAAACAAAAGTAC